AAGGGTGTTACCAAACTCCTTCTGAGGTAAAAAGAAAAAGTCTTAAATTGTGTAATTTATGTAAATGCAAGTTCTCATTCGTGGTTGGCTTAATCATAATTTCCTCATCTTCCCAGCAAATACTGTAGCCTAACTCTTTATAGGAAGCAGGGCTACATCTCCCATAAATGAACAATTCACCATGTTAAGGTAAAGGTAAAGGTTCCCCTTGCACATAAGTGCTAGTCCTTCCCGACTCTAGAGGGCGGTGCTCATCTCTGTTTTAAAGCCAAAGAGTCAGCGCTGTCCAAAGACGTCTCCGTGATCATGTGGCCGGCATGACACAACGCCAAAGGGGCACGGAACGCTGTTACCTTCCCACCAAAGGTGGTCCCTATTTTTCTACTTGCATTTTTTACATGCTTTCGAACTGCTAGGTTGGCAGGAGCTGGGACAAGTAATGGGAGCTCACCCTGTTATGTGGCACTAGGGATTTGAACCGCTGAACTGCCGACCTTTCAATCGACAAGTTCAATGTCTTAGACACTGAGCCACCACGTCAACATATTAAGGAGGGCTATAAAAGAAATGAGAATAATAATTTATGGAGGATTATAAATTTCCTAATCACATTAATATTTAATAATAAGCTTTCTATTATTCAGCATCACATACAACCTTTGTGAGGCCATCATAAGCTCATTACAAAATAACCAATATTACTACAGAAGTACAATGTTTGGAAGAGCTAACTAGCAATGATATATTACTTCACTGAGTGGTGTGGCACCTTGAATATGAACAGATTTATTATGCTATGACTTATGCTATGGTGAACCTGGACATGATGAAATGAAACATCACTGTACTGCACCAATGAAACTTCAGAGAAGGACAAATATTCAAAAAAAGAATTTGGCCACAATTCATAGAATTGTGAAGGGAAAAAAAAGCTATCCTATTTTGTGATGACAAGATGCTTTAAGTACTGAGTGGCGAAGGACTTTCACATTTATAAATCTAACATTAAAAGCCAATAAAGTTTATAGTTACTTTTATAGCCCTCCAATGTATGTTGAACTCATAGGCTGAGTGGTTTACTCTCTCAAAATTATGGGGAAGATTTGAAGCTACACCTTTGGGTGTGGTCATTACACAACAACTGTCATAACATGGAGGGAATTATCACTACTTATGAATGCCGTCAAAAACAAAGGATAAATGGCACAGGATAAAGGTTAAGATTTCCTTAACATCTATGTTCACTTAGATACCGATTAAGATCTTGCATCATGCAAGTAAGTCCTGAGTTAAGAGGTTGACTGAAACAAACATATGTTTGCTGGAAGAAATGCACAATGTTTATAATGAAAGAGAGACTTGATTTATATGGTTCAACCTCATAAAAGGACTAACAGTTCTAAATGCACATAGTTTTGTTGCATTCAGATATTCGTAATGTTTATTGAAAAAATGATGTAACTTGAATTTTTTTTTTTTTTGATGATGATCCTGGGAAAGTGGAATTTCTAGGCTGACATGGTTGGTCCTTCCTTCCTTCCTTCCTTCCTTCCTTCCTTCCTTCCTTCCTTCCTTCCTTCCTTCCTAAATAACTCAAGGTGGCAAACATATCCAGCACATTTTCTTCCTCCTATTTTCACCACTACCACCACCAGAACAACCCTGAAAACTGAGTTAGGCTGAGAGTGAGTGAGTGGCTCAAAGTCACCAGCTGGCTTTCAAGACTAACATGGGACTTGAATTCACATTCTCCGGCTTGGTGCCTTAACCACTAGGCCAAACTGATTCTCCATTTTTTCATAAAATGGTGGGAAGAAGCATTCAGAAGGAAAGCAACTGCAAAAAAAAAAAAAAAAAAATCCTGCAGAACACTGGCAACAGACTGTGAGAAAGTCAACTGAGCGTTGAATAAAATTCCTCAGCCATCATCATTTCTATACAATTCAATGGAGCTTTTCAATGGATTTTACTTAGCTCTTGAAAGCCCACTGTGATCCTGAACCACAAAATGCTTAGTTTTAAAAACTTAGTTCAAAAGTAACATTCCAAAGCAGTGTCTCTGAATCTCAAGAGCCTCAAGATATGTGGACTTCAACTCCCAGAATTCTCAGGCAGCATGGCCATTGGCCAAGAGCTCTCTGGATTCCTTAAAAGGAATTTCAGTTCTTTCAGTCAAGAGGATGAAAAGAAAGTGATTTACCCTTAATCTTGGTGAATCATAAAATCTAATTCACCTTCCTTTAAGAGAGCCTCCTTCAGAATTATTCCCTGATCCCTTATAGCTTAGCTTGCAGCCAACAATTTGCAAATTTCATTTTCTGGAGGAAATTTAGGATCTTTGATTAGATCCTGGATTGGCCTGATTTTCAGAGTCCATTTCAATCTGGCTATAGGAGAATTGTAACTTCTCTGTAGATGCTCTCAGTAATGCTTAATGCTGCAAAGAAACTTGTCTAGGCTTTTAAAACACTACAGGTAGTCCTCAAGATATGACAGGTTCCTTAATGAAGGTTCAAAGTTACGACAGACGATCCAAAATTATATGCAACTGTTTCAAAATTACAATGTTGCGGTGCCCCTGTGGTCACTTGCCCTTATGACCAACCAAAGACATGGATATGGTAGGGTGCCCCATAGACATAAAAATAAATACCTCGAAGAGCAACTACCTTTAGCCTTATTTCATTTAGCCACATTTCATAGAATACTTCAACACTGCAGTAAAGTCTGTGGTAATAATCCCAATTTTCAAACCACAGGTTCTGGTTCACAGAACATGCTACACGCAGATTAATCAAATCAAAACATGGCTTGGTGAAACGTATAAATTAGGTAATATTGAAAAGAACAACAAAACATTAAAATGTCAACTGTTTCAAAATTTATTTATGATACAAGACCAAACCCAGTAAAAGGCCAGCATGCAATACACTAAATATACCAAGAAATTTTAAACTTGTGAGAAAATCCTACAGCCATGAGCAGCTAACATGCTAATTCACAGCATGAAGGGAAGCCTTGGTGGCGCAGCGGACTAAAGAGCTGTTAAGTAGCACTTAGCTGCCAGCTGCCTGCAAGTACTGCAAGTTCAAATCTCACCAGGCTCAAGGTTGACTCAGCCTTCCATTCTTCCGAGGTAGGTAAAATGAGGACCCTGATTGTGGGGGCAATAAGCTGACTTTGTATAAAATAGAACACCGCTTAGGGGGGCCCAAAAAGCCCTACTAAGCAGGTATATACAAAAGTATGAAGGCTATTGCTTAACGCATTGTAAACCGCCCTGAGTCTCCGGAGAAGGGCGGCATATAAATCGAACCAATCAATCAATCAATCAATCAATAAATAAATACCAGACAATTCCTAATAGCTATTGATAAAAATTCTACAACCTTCTTTGGCTTCTGAAGAGTGATCAATGATCATTAGAGTTATTAAAAATTGGAAGTATAAACTTGATCCCCATTGGGTATACAATGGACATTCTAAGAGTACATGCAAGACAGATTCTACCTCCGATTCAGAAATAATAAAATAAAAAGTCAAAACGCAACAATCAATAAAGGGAGAACCAGAGACATTCTTGCTAGGGATCTTCTTGGAAAACTATACAAAGGAAATAAAATATTTAATACTACACATTTTAACAGCTGCCCGTATAGTCTGGAAAAAAGAAAACGCACCAACAGAGGAGGAGTTGATTAAAAAATTTTTAGAATGCGCAGAGATGGATAAACTGACAAAAGAACTTTGTCAGGATACAAAGAGGATACAGAATACTATAAAATTTGGTATAGATGGTATGAGTGGTTGGAGGAAAGGAAAAATGATGAAGAAGAATAAAGGGGAGAGAAAGAAATGTTAAAAATAATGGGAAAACTTGGTAAAATACGACATAGCAAATGAAATGTAAAGGAGAATTAGACTGCAAATGAAATGATGGGGACAGAGAGCAATATGGAACAAGATAAAATAAAATTTGTACAAATAGTAAATAATAAGGAAGGACCACTATGAAAGAGCTGTAGAGAGAGTATTTGTACATAAATGTTGTATGTCTTGTATTATTTTATTGTGTTACAATAAATAAATAAAAAGTCAAAAACTAAGTGTTGAGTAAACAAAACGAGAAAGGATAATAAGATAAGAAAGAGACAATGCAGGTGTCGATGTCTCGGAAATAACCAAGGGTGTCTATTGTTTGTGTATCAAAATAAGATAATAGTCAGGTTCTACCCCTTTTCAACATGTGCCACGTGCAATGCATATACAAAGAGCCAAGGCTTTGGCTGCACAGCCATGCTATTTTCTTCAGTGTTTTGACCTCCCACCCCATAGATGTCCCTATGCAATAAGCAAGTCTTAATTACAGCATGAGGAAAGAAAAGGGGGATGGGAAGGGAAGCACAACTCCTTCCATACAATTTCTTTCCAGCTACTACTTTTGCTTTCTAGCTACCCCGTGTCCTTAATCGTGCCGTGCAACACTTCGATCCGATCTCCCAAAAAAGAGTTGAGGGTCAGCAAACAGAGCACCTGCCTGTAATTCCTTAAAGCCACACGGCATGCCTCTTCTCGGTATCTCACCACCACAAAGCAATTCTGGAAAAAGTCTCGCAGGCAGATGCTACTTCTGCGCTTCAAAACACTTGGGAGAGATCACAAAATGTTGAATTTGTTCACCCTGGCAGTATTTATTACCGATAGTCCCCAAGACTCCGGCAATGTTCCTCATTCCAAAATGCAAGCTATTTTCCTACTCATATCCACCAAGATCAATGGAATGCAGAAAGGAGGACATATCCTGGCATATCTTTTTTTTTTTTTTTTTTTAAATGGGCAAACTCGGCTGAAGCTTTGGGGGAAAAGAAGGGGAATCAATCAACCAGAAGCAAAAGCCACCAATTTGGGTGGCAATACGTTTCTTGAGAGGGCTCTGCTGGGAAAATTCCTGGAGAGGGGAAGGGGAAAGGGTGAAGACAAGGGGAAAAGCCAAGCCCTACCTGTTCCAGGTGGCATTGGAGCAGGCCCGCTGGTGCTGAGTCCCCCGCTCGTCCAAGGCAGCGGTCTCTCTCTTGCCCAGATCGCTGAGGCTGGGCGAACTCATGAACTTCAACCTGCGAAGAGTCCTCATGGTCAATGGTGGTAATTGTGCGCGGCGGCTAAAGAAACACCATCCTCTTTACCACACACAGACACACGCAGCTGAGCCAATGGGGGAAAGTTCTCCGTCGGCTGTTCAAAAGCGAAACTTAAAAGAAAAAAAAAAAAAGGAAAACCAACAGGAAAGAAAAACAAAACAAAGAAAAGAGAACCAGTCTCTACGGAACAGTCCTCTGCCAGCAAGAAAGCAAATCCTTTAATCAGAGCAATTCTGACATTCCACAGCCCGGTTAATCATTGCAATTGGTTGCTGTTGCTTTCTTCATCCTCTTCTTCTTTCAGGCCTTTCTTGTCCCAGCCAAGGAACCTCTCACCACGTTTCTCTCTCTCTCTCCTGGCCCTCAACAGATGGAGATTCATTCAGCCCAAATGTTCCACCTGCCATAGTAAACATTTCTTTCACTGAATGCGCAGATGGGCTCCTCCTCCTCCTTCTCCTTTTGTAACAGGAGACGGAGCTGCTCTGGGGAGGAGTGGGGGAGCTACCCACAAAATATGACGTATGGAAATTTCACAGCAAAGTTTCACAACCACTGAAACTTTGCCACATTACAACACACCATTCTTTTCCATGGGGGGGGGGGCAAAGAACAACTCAGCTGTTAGATCCCTGAGCTGAAAGGGTGAACAAGCCTCATCTTAACTCACCTGTTTAAAGAGACAGAGACCTCATTTTTTGCAAAGCTATTCAGAAGCTGTCCTACGGGCACAGGGGCTCACATTCCTCCAGGCTTCCTAAGATGGGATGCAGATTTACAGTAAGGGTCCTATCTAAGTATGTCAAGGGACACACTTGCAAGCCGGAGCATTTAAATCACAAAGGGTGCTCTGCGCATGATTATCATCTGATTTGGAACTCCAGGTATTTTCTAGGTCTGTGATGGTAAACCTATTGCATGCGTGCCAGAGGTGGCACCCAGAGCCCTCTCTGTGGGCACGTACGCTGTCACCAGCTGCTCTGGTTATTGGCATGCACATGTGCACTGGCCAGCTGGTCCTCACGGGTGCTGGAGTGCCAGAAAATGGCCTGAAAATTGGCCAAAAAAAGGCCATTTTTCAGGGCGTTTTTGGGCCGTTTTCAGGATGTTTTTTGGAGCTTTTTCAGGGCATTTTGGGGGACGTTTTCAGAGCATTTTGCCCATAAAATGGCCCAAAAAACAGTCTGAAAATGGCCTGAAAAACAGCCCAAAAACAGGCATGCATGCAGCGGCCTGCTAGTCTTCAGGTTTCTGGTGCTCTGGCACACAAGAAGACCAGCTGGCTGATGCATATGCATGTGCCAAAAACCGGAAAACCATTTGGCTGGTGCACACGTGTGCCCACCAGCTGATCTTTGGGTTTCCAGCACTCCGGCGCTCACACATGCATGTGCATGCACACGCATTCTGATTTGGGCACTTGGTGCCGAAAAGGTTCGCCATCATTGTTCTAGGTAATTCACTTTCTTTGTTATGCAAAGCTGGAAATAAAGGATGCAGCAGGAATTCCAGTTTCTGAAACTTTCCACGTTCATGTAAACAGGAAGGTGAAGGAGCAAGAAACATACAGGGCCTCCTCTATAATGTTTCTATAGAATGGAGCTAAAGTTCTTAATCAGCAGCATTATCGAATATGAGCTAGTCATTTGATAAGGCACCACAAGGAAGTAACCGGAGTTTCAGGATCAAACAAAATGTGCACGCTGAAAAAGAACAGCCGACATGCACAACATGCATATACACAGCTCCAGGTGCAGCCCTAACGTTGGCACAATTTCAAAGGCAGCCCTGGTTCTTTGCAGGTCATAACAGAAAATTTCCGCTTTCCGCTTTCCAGAAAATCCGAAGGATATTCCACGTCTTTTCTAGCTTCAGGTGCTACCATTACTTCACTGCAGAAGGACTGAATTCCTTCAGGAATTACTGCTTTGTTCAGTGGGAAGACCAGCACGCAAACGTCTTTTGTGGGTCGGCATGTTAGTAAGAGAGGGCAGCTCTCATTGGGGACTCTAGTCACTATTTGACTCTAGTCAAATGCCATTACTAGCCTAATGGTATTTTGTTAAATGGCTGGGAATTGCCCTTTGCCCTCTGTTCGTTTTTTACACAATCTGAGCTGTGACTTTTTGGTTGGAAGAGCTGTCCAATAACAGAAGAGGCTCCTTCCGGAAGCAGAATATTGGAGAGGCCAGATGGCCATTTGTCAAAACTGCTGTGGTTATAAACCAGGACTGTCGAACTCGCGGCCTGGATGCGTCACGCACTGGCCACACCCATGCCCGGTTTAGCGAAGGGGGGAAAAGGTCACAATACGTCATGTGACAATGCCGTGACAATGCGAGTTGGACACCCCTGTTATAGACTATCATAGACTAGACAGCTAACCTTTTCAGCACCAAATGCCGAAACTGGAGGGTGTGCACCGGAGCACCAGAATCTGGAAGAGAGCAGCTGGCCGGTGCGCATGCACATGGCGGCCAGCTGCTCTTCTGGGTTCCATCATGCGTATGCGCACCAGTCAGCTGCTCTTTTCCGGGTTCTGGTGCACTCATGCATGTCGGACAGCTGGTCTTTGCGCAAGGACCAACTGGCTGGCGCACATGCGCGCGACGGAACCCGGAAGAGAAGCTGGCGATGGCACACATGCCCACAGAGAAGGCTCTGTGTGTCAGAGCTGTTCCTACTGGGTATCCTCCCGGAAAAAAATAGTAAAAGAAAATATTTATTTGATTATACATGTAATAACAGCTGCAAGGATTGTTTATGCACAAAACTGGAAAGCAGAGAAAATACCTTTGGAAGGAGAAGTAATTACAAAAATTTTTAGACTGTGCAGAAATGAATAGATTGACTTTGATGACTAAAGAAAGAGAAGATTCAGAATACTTTAAGATATGAAATCAATTTTTTCCACTGGTTAGAAAAGAGATACAAATAACTGAATTAATAGTTATGTATAAAAAGTGCTACGATTAGAATATTGTGTTAGTGATGAATTGTTGTAATGGATTTGGCGAGATATATATAAGAGAGGGCTCTGTGTGTCACCTCTGGCACATGTGCCAAAGGTTCGCCATCACAGGACTAGATGATCTCAGGCAGCCCTTTGGCTAGGGAAAATGAAGCCCCTTTGCTTTGTTTCTATCCAGTTTGTTGTTTTTACCATCATTTGTTACTTGCATTTAATATATTAAATATTGTAATATATATTATAAGCATGTAATGCAATGTAGTTATATTTTGTCTTGTTTCAATTGCTGCGAGCCACCCAGAATCACTGGGAATCAGGTGGCATAACAAACAAACAAAGAAACAATAAATCTCAGTGGTTCCTTCGAACTGTTATGATCCATGAGTTTATGAGAAGTGAGGCTTTGGAGAAATGGCAAAGAAACACCATCTTCTTGGTTCCTAAGGCAGGGGTCAGCAACCTGTGGCTCTGGAGCCGCATGTGGCTTTCACCCCTCTGCTGCGGCTCCCTGTCACGCAAAATATGCATCACAATCGCCAATGTGCGACACTTGCCGACACGAGATTTATTGAGCTTTTCAACCCCCAGTAGACCAACCATGGATAAATCCAAGAAAAGAAAAGTTTCAGAAGAAAACAGAACGTTTAATTCAACTACATATGCTAATTTTGTGGTGCTCAAGAAATAGTCAGGCACGGGAAGGGTTTTGTGGCTCCCGGTGTTTTCTTTTCTGTGGGAAACAGGTCCAAATGGCTCTTTGAGTGTAAGGTTGCAGACCCCTGTCCTAAGGCAACTCCTTCTCCTCCACTATCAAAACTTTCCTAAAGTAAAGGGCCAATTCAAATGCCTTATATTAAAACAGTCGTAACATGACTCTCCTCCTACCCAAACCAGGAAATTCCTCTTTGATGCTATCCTTCACTTTGACCCACTGATGCAGGAAATGATTGGATAATGTAATTTGCCCAATGGAAAGAAAGCAAAGTGGCGAGTACAGTAAGCCGAACTGAGCGTGATGTTTGGTGATTGGGTGGACAAACACTTCTCCTAGCCTACAGTCTGGAGGTTTCCTGGTCTCCTATCTCCTGCTTGGCTTTTCAAAACCATCCACCACATGGAGAAAACCAGATGGAGAGAGACCCAGGTATGGGTCATCCTAGAGCACCATTAAAGGGAATTGTTTCACATATGCATTGGTTACTTCCTTTCTGGCATTTCCAAGGAGTTTCTCTCTCCTTTTATTCTCCCTTGTCTGCTCGAGTCCCTTGTCTGCTCGAAGAGTTTGCTGGAGACACATCCCAGCCAGTGCTGGGTTTCAAATTTTTTTCTACCAGTTCTGTGGATGTGCCTTGGTGGACGTGGCATGGCTTGGTGGGCGTGGCAGGGGAAGGATACTGCAAAATCCCCATTTCCTCCCAATCAACTGGGACTCAGGAGGCAGAGAATAGATGGGGGCAGGGCCAGTCAGAATTTTTACTACAGTTCTCTGAACTACTCAGAATTTCTGCTACCGGTTCTCCAGAACTGGTCAGAACCTGCTGAAACCCACCTCTGATCCCAGCCACTGAAAATTTCATTCAAAAAAAAAATGTTCTTCTCTACATTCAGTACTGAGATTCAACATTCATTTATCTCGCAATAAATATTTTCTCATTTCAAGTCCAGCAAGTCAGATTTTCCTCCAGGAATGTGTCAGCGTTTTATCTCAAGTTCATTTTTGCATCTTTAAAAAAGGCGGTGGCGATGTTGAACTTGGACGAAAGAAGAGAGGCCATGCTCTTCCTCTTGGTTTTCTGTCTTTTGCTGGGTTCTTGGCAAGCAGATAACAAAAGTTTCTGTATCTTAAGACCAAAGGTGACATATAATTGCAACAATAAAGAGGTGCCTGATAATAAAGCTAGCTTCCTTTATAGAATAAGGACCTTGAGCCCTAACAAAATTACTATTAAGAAAATGTAAATGAAAGAAAACACAAAATAATAAGAATGACATAAAAATGGTCTGTAACTGTTGCTAAATGGATTAATTGGTAATTAATACATTTAAATCCCACCCTTCAAATTTCTTATCTTACCAAAGATTTGAATCTATTTGTTGTTGTCTATATAATTTTAAAGAGCCTATGAGCCAGGATTCTCG